AATCAGTTTTTTACACACAGTCAATGAAGAACTACGTTTGTTTAAAGACTGAAATTGCCTTTTGGCCAGAGTTATGTGAGTTGGAAGAAGTTTCGTGGGTGAAGCCGAAAACCGAGTTCGCGGCTCATTATTTGGCTACGTTATGACGTTTTGAAGTTTTGGCCATCTAATAAGGTGCTGCAAGGAGAGGTGTTTGTTCGGCGCCCCCATACGTTGTCAACGTGACTCAGTTAGAAGTTAAGTGTTTGTCTACTCGAAAAGAAGATGCTGCGATTACCCGGCCGTTATAGTGTAATTATTTAATCGAGTGTATAATTGAAAATTGTTTTTGTGTAAGGATACCGTTTATTTGGATTACATTTCCCGGACATGTAATGTAAGTAATTAAGTCTTAATTTTAGTCTTTCTTTAATAATTGTTTGTATGTTTGTACCATTTTCCTTTACGATTAAATTGCACTTTTGTAATTCTCACATTGATTTTCCGTGTGTTTAATTCTAACGACTGCATTTCTAACTTATCTGTGTTTTTACTGGATGCTTGTCTAAGGTTCATTTTAATTATTCAAAATTTTGCAGTTCAGTTTGGAGTTTTGTATTTGGTATTTGGTTTGACCCACTATCTGTTAGAAGTTGACAGGTTAACTGAGAACAAAGTCGAATTTCTCCTCTGTATTGGGGAGGAGTTTTGTGCTGGGATAATAAGTACGGTAAAGAGCTAGCTAGGTTTTTGTTTTGGTGTTTTGTGTACCGTCTTTCTGGCCTACGGACCAGTGCACACAGCAACACATTATATAATGCTCATGACTTACAAGAAACAGGTGACAGTATACGCACTCTAGCAGTTAATGGTGCTCAATCAGAAAATTGTAGAATGCGGCTAATAAAAAAAGATGAAATTATATGTGTGTAATATTTATAATGCAATACCATTTTTTAAATATAAAAAAAAGTTCCCCAAATTGCGACAAAGCACAAAGCATGATGGCGTGGGAGTATGTGGCGTTCGCTAAAGAAATAAATTGAAGGAATTGATACTCTCCTTACTGCGATGGAAATAGGACCTTGTTCTTTACTAATAATACATTTTTTTTTTACTAAGTCCGTATTAATTGATGATGACCCCGAAAAACAGAAACATCGGACTTCAGATCTAATCATGTCAGCTTGTAGGGAAGGAAGAGTTGAAATGTGAAAGTGTCATTTGTTTGCAAAAATCTATATTCAAATAAGGACACAAAAAATAAAAGAATTAGCGAATTTCCGGTTATCCCCGGATTCAGAATTCCTTCTCTATCTACGAAGCGTTAGATTCGGCCCCGAAAAGCTTTCCCTCCATTTAACCAACGTTGTATTCGTATGCGGTCCGAGATCCCAATGATCAGCCTGGAATTTGGGACACCTTGAACACAGTTCACACTTTCTAAAATGTCTGGGCTACAGTGTATTCCTATTGCACTATATCCTAACTCGCTTGTATAATACCATTTATGTTCGTTACACAGGAGCTTAGTAATTTGAATAATGTTCACCTCATTTAAATTAATTATTGTTAAATGCTAATGAACTTGATTCAAATTGATCATAACATAACTTAAATAAGTAGTAGTAACTCAATTCTTGCCGACAACCTTGTAAAAATAATTGGCAAGTATTTCTGGACATTTATAGTTTGCAGTTATCTGAAGGTTTCCAGCTTAATGAACGTCATTCCCTTTTTGTTGACGTCTAACTGTTCCTCTGTGTTGCCGTCGGCCTTGTCCATCATTCTTTGGATATCCGTCATCTCAAAAATTGGTGGCGTTGTTGGTAATTACCGCATTGAAGTGCAAGGGGGTTGCCTCCAGCTCTTCCTTTCCCGTGAGATCCGTTGTTTATCGTTCGTCGTTTAGTTCTTTACTTGTTGAACCCGGAAAGACGGAGTGAAACTGGGGCGATAGGTTGAAGAACGGGAAATTTTGATGAGGGTGAAAGAGAAGTGGTTGGACTCCACATCTCTCTTGAAAAATGGTAGTAAATGTTCTTTTGGGTATAAAACTTATACAGTGATATTTATTAAGAAGTAGACATAGAGATTTACGTGTGTTGTTTTTCCATTAATCATAAATTGGAGTAACTTTGACGAATTTGTACTGGTTGCGAAGCTTACGGCAGTTTTGCTCACATAATGCACTGAAAAAAGGAGTCAGGGGGTCGATTTTTGAAACCAGTCGCATCTATTCGTATACGCTTAGATGCGAAGACTTAAAAACGTATACGTTTTCCAAATGCAATTTTTGACTACTGTTCGTAACTGCCTGGAACCGAAACGTACAGTGCATATGACAACGTCGCCTTTATTGATTGATTAGAACTAAAACGGACTATTTGACGTTCATTGACGTTTGGGTTTGAGCTTAGGTGGTGAGGTGAAGATATTGCTCAGTCATTTCAAATTAAAGAATAATAGATAACATTTTAGGCACTGATTAGCATGAATACTGAAAACACGATGGACACGCCAAAGCGAGGGTGCAATACCACGCAAAACCAAAAAGGGTGGCTAGTAGAGTTTGCTAAAAACCACCCCGATATAATAGCAGGTAAACAAACTACGATTTTGACGTGCAAGAAAATGCAAGACTCATGGAAAGAAGTAGCTGATACATTTTGATAAATTGTGCTTCGTTTAAGACTTCTATGGGGTTGCAAGGATTACGGTTCCTATTCGGGCGATAATTGCGTTCGGCATTCTCTAAATTGTCTATTACAAACACATTCATAGCTTCATCCATTGTTGTTAGTAGATACCTTTCAAGTCTCAAGAGTGAAAACTTCAACACTAACCAATACATAACCCACAAAACGTCAGTTGCGAGCGTTTGCGAACGCCATTTACCCGCTCGCAGAAAAACGAACACAATTGAACGTATACGCAATATAAACGTATGGTCAAAAATTGCAAATATACGTTTCTTTACGAATACGTATACGTTTTAAGGAAACGTACGGCCAAAAATCGACCCCCTGGGCAGTTTAGGCCAGAATTCGGCACGCTTTCCAAATGGCAAAGCCCTTTAATCCTTTAATTTATTGGAAACCTACTTCTTGTTTGCTGTGAATGCAATTTGACTATTCTGGAATACCCATGCGCTTTCTAATTGATATGGTGCATTTCTTGTTAAATGTTCAGTGTGAATTGCAAATGAAAAGAAGTTGGTTCGTTTCCAAAATGTTAATTAAGGAATAAACACTATCTTTTATGTCTTTAATTTACCTTGTCCGTGATTTAGTTCCAATAAAAGTACTGGTAGGCGATGATCACTAAAATTTTAACTGAAAGCCCCTACAGGGGACAAAACGTAAGAAGTAGGGTTCTAACTCTATCATCTAGGAAGTATGAGGCTATGAGAAGGTGAGTCGTAATCAGGACATTTATTATCCTAAGACTCACCACAATACTTTCAGGTTCTGTTACGTTAAAATCCATTTCTAAGTGAAGTGTGGATTAAAAGAATCAATCTTCATGTTTCATGTTACACTTTAATAATATAATAGTAATAGTAGCTCATTATTGAATTTTAAACATACATATACTCTGTTTTTTAACTAGGAAGACGGATTTAAAAGTTCCCGCAAAAAATCTTAGTTTCTATTGGCTCGCGCTGCGCCCTTTTTACACCCAGGTAAAATTGCTATTGACATGATTTAACTGTCAAATTTAATCGCCATTCTCGTCCGTAACTGTTGTACTTATTTTTGAGTTTTTCTGTGTTCTGAGTCCATTTGCATATATTTATAAATTTTAACAAAAAAAACAGCTCTTTTAAGAACAAAAGTTGATATTTCGCGTCCTAAGTGTACTGGCATTAGTGATGAATTCAACTCCAAGTACCTACCAGTAAAGCAAGCTTGTCTTCTTTGAAAAAACGTAGTCGCTTAAACTTGGGTCATTTTATCAGTCTCCGAGAAGCAGTTTATTATAAACACAATAAACAAATGTTGTCTGATCCCCGGATATGAATTTTGCTACGCTTGTGTTGAAGATTGCATCTACCAGAGGTAACGTAAATAATGATGTAGCTGGTATATATTTGGTTATTAAAGTGTGACACATATTAGGAATATTATTATTGCACGATCTATAATATACCGGATAATTAAAGAATATCGAAGTACTGGGATTGTTACCCCTTCGAAACGGTCCGGTGGTCATAACGCTGTTGCAAATGTGAGCTCTGACGATTGGCGGAATTGTGTGCAACACGTTACTAAGGAAGAAAATAAGACGTGTAGATTGGATGGCCTAATGGACACACTTATAGAACCATTAATTATTTCACTCGGATCGGAGGACAGTGACAGTTTTAGTGAACTTTCGGAAGACGGTGACTAAATCGCTTATACATAAAGCAGTGAACTGTGCTGTTTAATAATATGACTATAATTCCATTGTTCTGAATTTGTTCAATAACTTAACATTTGTTGTAAATTGTAATGTGGATTGTGTAGTATTACAACTGATAAAAATATTTAAAATTACAATTCAAAATAATGTTTCAAAGGCCAAAAAATGTATGCAGGATGATTACCTATTATCAATGTATTACCTATTTATTATAATTCGCTTTTAAAAGTATGATGTATGCATAATATAAAGGAGTTCCTACCAAATAATAACCCAAAAGCATAAATCATGAAATCTATCCAAATGTGAAAGAAAATCACATCACGCAACCCACAATACATGTCGGTATAAAATGAGTCTATTATTTTTGTTACTAGATTCTAGTGACATTTCCAGTGTAAATCAGGTTTTTAAATCCGTCTTCCTAGTTAAAAAACAGAGTATAGTTATTTAAAATACTCTAGCTGTACTGAAATGGAACACGACGGTATGGTAGGCGTAATACTTATCTTGCGAATTGCTTCAGTTCATTGGGGAATAGTGTAATTTAAATTCAGATTAAACCTTATGGCTTGAATATAAGTAAGTAATTACATAAAAATGGAAAAGCGTACCTGTAGGATAAATAAAAGTTGGTCGTTTATTGTGGGGGCTTGAATTGCTGGTCGTGGCAACTGTCGCTTGAACCCCTTTATCCGACATAGTTTCAAGTCAAATCTTTATCTTCATTGATTACTCGTTGGTCCTGAAAAATAAGAAAGAAATGTAAATAACACAGTGCGCTAAGTAAAAAGTGCCTGAAATGAGTTTTCATGTTTACGTTATAACGGGCGATCAAAAATGAGTTGCTGTCAAGTTGCCTTTGGAAGTTCAAGTTAAATACGATTCCCATGCAAACAAAAATTCCAAAGGTGTGTCGACAGTAACTCATTTTTGATCGTATGGTACCTATCTCCCAATTATAGATTATCTGTGTCAAATGAATTTCTTTGATTTATTCAGTTAAACCAACTGTTAAGTTAGAAATATGTATTGAATTGATTAGGCTCACTGTAAATTTCTCTGCCTTTACTTTAACAATTGGACACACTTCATGGTTTTATGTAACAATACATTTACATTTTGGCTTATGGAAATAGGACAAGTCATAGAAATCTTCTACAGCTTCGTAGAATTGCCGCATCTCTGTCGCTTCGCGGATCGTGCAATCCTACAATACATACGTACTGTTACCACCTTGTGACGTAATATACCTACTATATTTCTTCCATATATACGTTCGGCTAAATTCCATGTCCATCCATATCAATATCTTTAAAATAGACATTTTATATGTGTTAATAATGTTAATTATGATTGAAAGTAGAAAAAGAGAGTCAGGGTTTAGTTATTGCTAACATACTTTTGCCATTATAATATGTCAGCACAGGTTTATATTCATTCTATATTGATGACTCTTTGACATAAGCACAAAAATATTTTTCGCTTATGAGATCGATGCTTCGTTTTGTTGCTTGCTACAGGAGTGGGTTGCATATTTTATGGAATCGCTTAGATTAGTTTCTTCAGTTTCCATTTTATGTAAACATAAGAATAAATACCACTTAGCCTGGGTTAATGCAGTGGAAGTGTTAAAATTGGCAATTTACGCATATTTCTCATGTTATAAGTATTCCTCCTGGAAATTTTCAGCGTAACGGAATTATTCCAGTCGAATTCAGAGATCCGCATCCTTGAGAATATATATACCTACGCATAATATAATATATTTAACGTACCCAATTTCATAGACGATAATTAATTTAGTTGGATGATTCCCGAACAACATTGAGTACCGTAAATGAGACATTGATAGTGCAAAATCAATTTTACAAGCGAGAATCATCGTATTTTAAAGGTTCACCTCAAATTCTACGTGGCCATCAACTTTAACCAAAGATAAGAAACTTCATGAAAATGAAATGCCACTCAAGATTCTATCGTCCCTAACTTTCCGTCAACAGCTTCTGCTCACTCACAAAACATCTATCGATTTCGTAACTTTAAACTACGTGCGTAAAATTTCTCTAATGACATTATTTAGCATGGAGTAAGTTCATACGGAAGGGAATAAAGGTGGCGTACCTATGTGGGTATAAAGTTTTCCAACAATGGGGTTAAACCTGCATGAATGTTCCTGCTTGATTGTATGTTCGTTCCTTCTAAAATTAACAAATCGCTATTAGAATAGAATTATCTGTGATTATATTACCACAGAATGACACGTGTATTTTCATCAGTAAGGGGATCCGTTTTCCAAGGTACACTTTTTGAAGCACGAATGACCAAGCCATAACTGTCAGCTGAGAGCAAACGCCAATTCGGGTCAGCAATTTGACAAGTTCAGAACTTTAAAGTTTATGTTACTGCATGCATAGCTATTACGTTTAGGGTTGAAGAAATGGTTATTATGCGAAGTGATGTACGGAACATAATGCGACAACGTCCCAATGTAAATAAATAAATTGTACAGAAGGAACAGGAAGTATAAGGAATTTTACTAATAGAGAAGTGCGGCTTGGATTACAGCATTTTTCTGGTAATTTTGCAATTGCCACACGATTTGTTTCAATTGGAATTGCATTTTTCAGGTTAAACCGCGCTGGATACTTGCTCGACAGCAATAAGGAAAGGAAACGGTCATCGTGTTTGATTCCTCCGAGATCTCTGACTACAGGGACGCCGGAGGCGGGCCGCTCAGCCTTGCGTCTTCAGCCAGAAAACGAGAATGTGAGGATAGGTAAAGTAGAGATGGGAACGGAAGGAACGGAGTGAGGGTGCTGAGGGGGAAGAGTACTGCTCCAGCATTCGCTTCGTAGATTTTGACATAATGCTATCATTATGCGAAGCTACGTACGTCTAAGCAAAACCCCCTAACAAAACCCCAGATAGCAATCGGTAGCGGGATTCGAACCCACAACCTCCCGAATAGCAACGGTGAGAGCAACCCACGAACTTATAAATTAAGATGGACTGCTGATCAGACAGTTGCATAGAGGTAGAAATAGCCCTAGCATGGGCGCCGCCGTGATGTGCACATTTTAATTATTTTCTAGGGGAATTTTCCCAGTGCTCAAGTTTTGAGACTTTTGCAGCCTTGGAAAATGACATGTGTCACAGTAATTTATTTAGAAAACGCGAGGTTAATGTTGGGTTAATGCTTGTTTATTAGTTGATTTGAATTTCGCGCCAAGTGAGTGCACATCATGGCGGCCCCCATGTAGGTGCCATTTGTTAATTCAGCATTAGCAGTCCATCTTAATTTATAAGTTCGTGGAGCAACCACTGCGCCACGCGCCTCGGTCACAGCCGCACCTGGTTTATAAAGGGCTCTTTCTACAACAACCTCACTGAGACGAGACTTGTCGCACTGCTATGTACATAAAATCGACGGGTTCGAGATAATTCGTTATCACCACGACAACTATTTTCGGGCTGGTACGAAAAAGTACATCCCATTTAGCTATCTACTAGACAAAGTTTTAATAAAAGTAAATTTTGCTCATATTTCCTTCATAGTAATAATAATAATAATAATAATAATAATAATGTTTATTCCCACAAAAATAACTAATAGGAAAACAAAAACAAAATAAAGAAAATAAGAATAATGTGGGAAAGGACTGCATTCAGTGTAGCAATACCCTGATCTTCCATGCAGCCCTGTCAAGCATAATATAATAGCAACACATATATATCAGTAACACCAATGAAGAACACTCACCACGCATTAAGAAAGAAAAAAAAAATATATAAAAATAAGAAGAAATGCTACAAACCCTATAACGGCAATGTATTTGATATTAGCAACTGGCACATTTTAGATTTGAATGATGATGGACTGAGCATTTTGAGAGACCGCGGAATAGCATTATAAATTTTTACCACGTTATACGAAAACGATTTTTCAAAATAACGGGTACTGTGGGTGGGAATGTCTAACAGACCCCTATGTCGTAAAAACAAATTATGCACATCCGTGCGGTAACTTAAACGGTCAAGCAAGTATCCAGGAGTTTGGAAATAAAATAATTTATGATAGAACACAGATGAGTGCAATATTCTCCTTTGATGCATATTAAGCCACCTTGCTTCCCCAATTTTGAGAGAGATGTGATCCCTACGTCCGATACCGTAATGCATTTTGCACTCTTTGGATCCTCGTCGCCGTGACTTGATCAATACATGCCCCATAGACTACATCAATAAATTAAAATGGGACAAAATCACAGAATTAGACAAATGCAATTTAATTTTAGGAGTAAGAATATTTCTATTGGGGTACAGTTTTCTTAGAGTCCCAAACGCTTTGCTTACACAGGCACTGACATGCTGTGTAAATTTAAGATCTGCATCCATGTTTAGACCCAAATTACGTGACATGTTCATTACAGGCAGCAGCACATTTCGGAGATGAATTTTAATAAAAGGTTCCCTAGCTAATTTACGACCGAAAATAACAACCGCAGATTTTGTCGAGTTAATGTGCAAATTGTGGTCTAGAGCAATATCAGCCAAAGTATTTATCTCCTTGTTCACTATTTCAACGGCTTCGTTCAATTTAGCAGGATTAAAACTATGATAAATCTGCGTATCATCCGCATATTGATGGTACAGATTACTACAAATGGAATTAGAATAAATAATATATAAAAATGGTCCCAATACGGAACCCTGCGGAACACCCCGTCGTATGTCAAGTGAAGAGGAACGAGTATTATTCACAAGAACGCTCTGCCGCCTACCTTGAACATAAGAAGAGATTAATTGTATAGCCGTAGAATGAAAACCGTAGTGATGTAGTATTCTAAGGAGTAGTTTATGGTCGATAGTGTCAAATGCCTTTGAGAAATCGAGTAAAACTGCTATTGTGAGCTTCCCTGAGTCAGTTGCCCGTATGATATCATCCGTGATATTTAGTAGTGCAGAAGTACAGCTGTGACCTTCTCGAAATCCAGATTGGAACTTAGACAATAAACGGTTGTTTTTGAAGTAATCACTAATTTGAACCTTCATTACCTTTTCCAGGACCTTGGATAAAGTCGGCAAAATACTTATTGGTCGAAGGTCCTTGTAGTCTTTAGGGCATCGATTTTTAGGAATGGGACTCACAAGTGCAGTTTTCCAAGCTGTAGGGAAAATATTAAGAGGATAGGCAGGCATTGACAATGTGGGTTATATAAGGAACAATGTACGGACAACACATCTGAATCATTTGAATATTGATGCCATCAGAACCAATAGCTTTAGACTTAATCCCATTGAGTATAGTTAACACTGTTGTATCATCAATAGGAGTGAATGTAAATATGGTGGTGACATTAGGATGAATGGAGTTATACCCATTAGACGAGGTATGTATGTTATTCGAAGGAACAGAGTTAATGAAATAGGAGTTTATGTCATCAGGATTACTTAAGTGATGTGGGATTGCAGAATGATTCTTCTTGTAAATATCTAAGTTATTAATTGCCCTCCACAGAGATGTTTTATTATATTTAGCTAAAGTAAAATTTAAGTAGGCTTTCTTTTCATTTTTAATTGAAACGGACACTAGACTTTTAAGGGATTTGTAATACTCAAAGTGCCCAGCGATTTTGGTTCGTTTGTAACGTTTATATGCACTATCTCTTAATTTCATCATAAATTTTACATTACTAGTTAGCCATGGTAATTCCGGTTTGTTAAGAAGTTTGGATTTAAGGGGGAAATACAGATCAAAAATATAAAGCAAGATGCCAGAGAAGGTGTCAACCTTATCATTTACACTAGGTAACATATATATTTCATGCCAGTTGAGTTGGGACAGCGTTAAATCAAAATATTGAGATACTTCATGAAAATTATAGTAGTCTCTATAAGTGAGCCTTGACATAATTGGACGGTCACATACAGTAGTTATGGAGCATGTTATGAAGTTATGGTCAGAAGCTAAATGAGAAAGTGTAACCGCAGAGAACAAGACAGTCTGCGGATCGGACACAAGAATATGATCAATTAGGGATTGATTTATAACGGACGACACAAACTTCTTCAGATTTCAAATAATCAATGTTAAAATCGCCCAGCACATAAAATATTCCTATGAATCGGTAGAATATTGCACATCGCATCCTCAAACTCCGCGATAAAATTTAAAACATTGGTATTGGGAGGCGTATAGACAACACCCACAATAAATATTACCTTATTTTTATCAACAACTCGTAACCAAAGCTGCTCATACGTTTTAGAAACATCTTGTTCTATAAAAGTTGCTTTGTAGTTTGATTTCACGTAAATGCCCACTCCACCTCCTCGACTGCCACGATCCTTTCGTAAAAAATTATAATTTTCAATTGCAACAATATGCGAGTCAATACCATTATGTAGCCAGGTTTCACTAACTGCAACAAAATCAAATTTATTCATCCTTACATGTTCAGAAAATTCAACAAAATTTTGGTGAGCGACCGCACATTGATATGAGCAAATGTGGTATTACTCATAATTCGTTCACAGGGAACTAATTATAGGCACAATTTAATTTGCGCTTCCACCTAAATACGCAATGGAAAAATACAACAAATAATCGGTTTATAATACATACTAAAAATTTGAATACTGAATATTATACACAAAGAAAATACTATAGTTAGTTATATATACACAAATGAAGTAGCATCATTGCTGATTAATAATATAGATTTTACATTTGAATAAAGAAAAACACAAGAAAAAACAAGTAATCTCTCAAACTCAATAAAGGGGTTTATCTTCACTGCTAAGCTCACTACACTAGTTCGAATTATCAAAACTGTATAGCTTCACATCTGCCTTAACTTTGAATAGTACATTTTTTTATTTTTTTTATTTATTTTTATTTTGTCTTTATTTTTAAGTGGGCGGGGTTTCAGCCGAGGCTGCTCTACCAACCCAACCCACTATACATTTACAAATATCCATGCCCGAACCCGGATTCGAACCAGGGACCCTGTACCACAGTCGAGCTTCCACTGAACTGCGCTACACGGGCCGGCAAATCCATCTCTTGTCCAACAATTCGATTTCCCATAAACACCTTGGAGCTCCATGTACTTTTTATGCCTTCTAGCTGTAAGATCCTCTCGTAGAACCAATGCAGTCCCTTTAAGTTTACTTTTTGAACTATATATCAACTGACGAATACGATAATTGTTAAATTTGATTATTATGGCACGTATTTTATTCGGCGATAATGCACCTACTCTATGTGACCTCTCAATATCGTTAATAGTTAGATTTCAATTTAATTTATCATTTAAAATATGGATTACTGCTTCATCCGTATTTTCATTCTGCAATTCTTTGACCCCAAAGACACGCAAATTACTTCTTCGGCTCCGTTGTTCCAAATCATCAATTTTATTATTAAGCAAAGTAATGCTTTTTGCATTATTCTCGCATTTAAGACATATCCTTCATAAAATTATCTAACTTATTGTTAAAATTGGTATTAAGATTAGATATACTGTTGTTGATACCTGCCAACTCCTTTTTCAATTCTTCCATCATATCTAACATACTTTCCATTGTGCAGAAGCTGGACTGACTTGATTGCGACTGATCCTCTGGTAGTTGCAGGCCCTCTTTTTCTTTACGAGTTACAGATCGCGTTTTAAACATTTGTTAACAGACGCACTTGTATTAGGATTATCTGTTGTGGTAGATAAAGCCAGTGAACCTTTCACTCGAAATCAATTTATATACACTGATAAGTTACAATTTAAATTAGTAGGTAATCCTTACTAATATCACTATACACAAACAATGCAATATGAAAGTACAATTTAAGGCAGGAGCACAAATTATGCGTGTTATTCGCTTGCCGTCATACTACGCTCTCAAAGGTACATAGGTATAATTTTGTTTTTGATTATATTGTGGGTGCCATCTATTGGGATAAATTATTATATCAGTGGAGTTGGAAAGAAATTCACTGCAGATTTCGCAATCCATGCAACCATAGGAGACGTTGGAAATGATAACCGTATAACGCCATATTTAAAACACAAATAAACCCATAAAGAGCGTCTAAAAAAGCGGCAGAGCACCTCGGTGTGACCCCACGGAGTCATTGGATTTGACCCATTTTCAATTGGCTTGTTACATGTGGTATATATGTTCAACTTAATACTAAGAAGTGCAACCTTTTCCACAAACAACTCAAATACCTCGGTCATCTGGTTTCGCAGAATGGAGTGTCAGTGGATCCCGACAAAGTTCGAGCAATACAAGAATTGCCTCAATCAAAAGTTAAACATGAAAGTTGTTCACAAATTTTCTGATTTGCAGAACCGTTGAAAAAGTTACCTCAAAGATTTCCAATTGGATAATGGTTGTAAGCGGGTTTTTGAAGATTGAAACATTACTCAGCTATCCTAAAGAAGAAAGAGACTAGCAATGTTCGAATGGGACCTGTACTATCTCGAAGGTACCTCTAGTCGTCATAAAGTCGATCGAACATAAGTGTCTATATGACCAGAAGTTCCTCGTGAGGACCGACCATGGCGCATTCGATGGTTATTTCAATTTAAGAATGCAGAAGGCCAAAGGACCTGGGGGTTGGATTTTCACCGAAAGAGTACGATTTCGTAACAAAACACCGCACGGGGCAAAACCATGGTAATGATTTATTATTTACTATTTATTTATTATTTGTAGTTTTTTGTTTATTATCCCTCTAGAAGACCATTCCTTCGAATTGTCGACACTACTCAGAACTGGAACACAAATGTGAACAACCACCACGACGCACTGCACTTGTGCATGATAATCGGACACCTTTAGAACTCCGGACAGCTCAAGAAAGTGACCGTGATTTGCGTCTGATGATAAACTGGAAAATGGAAGAGAGAATGCCAACCTGAGAAGTATCTCGATATGGTCCAGTTTTAAAGGCGTATTGGGATCAGTGGGACTCGTTGCGGTTAGAAGACCACAAATGTTTAGCTAGTGATACCAGAGCGCAGAAATTACTACGACCCTGGTAAAGGTGCGATTTTACTGGACAAATTGCAAGCAAAATGTGAAGGAATGGTGCAGAAAATGTGCAGTTTTTGCAATAAGCAGCGGACCAGTAGGAACGAAGAAGGCACTTGAACTCCATTTGAAGGAATAGCCATTGATATCGCTAGTCCCTTCCCGGTGATAGTTGCTGGAAACAATTACATCTTGGTGGCCATTGAACATTTCAGCAAATGGACAGAAAATTATGACCAATCAAATCAGGAAGCGACAACTGTGTCAGACGTTCTGGTAAAAGAATATGATGCAAGTGAAATCACGACAGTCCACTTTCAACATTTATGACACATTACTATGGAACGCAAAGAGCACGCTTTGGTGCTTTCCGTGAGGATCTATATCTAGATTTATTTGGAGCACCAGCGGAATAGGCTAGCCAAAGGTGTCAAGATGAAATATGACCTGTGTGTTCGAGAACATTCTGAAGCATCCATGAAGCACTCTGGATCATTCTAGAAACGATGTTGTTTGCTATACGAGCAAATCGAATTGCGTTTCGAGTCAGTTCCAACTTCAACGCTAAAGTAATAAATTGGTCGCGCTGTTAAAATTGGACATAATATTTTACTGTTATTAATCAATTGATCATTTCAAGGCTGTTATACATTTTCTACTAATTATTTGTAATTCAATGAAACAGGTAATTACATTTTTTCGAGTATACCGAGTAAATGCCATTTTATCTGTTAAATTAAACCTAGTAGGAGGAATTATTGTTATGGTGCGTTTATGTGATCTGTTTCGCAAGGGTGCTGTGTGACAAGCTATGCGTATGATAGATGACTTTATATCCCAAATATGAAATGCTAAGTAAGACGCATTTAGAAAGCATATTAATTAGGTGTAGGTATAAAGTATAAATTAAACTACTTGGTGCAAACGGAATATGCACACGTAACCAAACCAAATGTTTGATTGAAATGTAAATGTGATGTGCTTTATTATTGAATTCCGAGTCAAACTCCGCTAGGACGAGGCAAATTTGCGAATCACAACTTCTAAATAGTGTATTGGGTACAATAGTATCTACTCGTATTTTACTTTCGAAAGTATGCGAATAGCGATGCAAAATGGCACAAGACTAAAGACAAATACAGCTGACGCTTACATATGTGCGGTAAAAGGTCCGGGATGCCTACACAAAATGGTTCAATAAATGAAATGAAATTCACAAACAACTTTTTTATAGGATCAGTCAGTTGCTAAATTATTGTGGAAATGAAAGCAATAACAAGAACGTAAACGATGTGTTACATTTCGTCCCCCTTTATCAAAAATGGTAGGTATACTAAAGATTTATAATGTACTTTTGACGTTAAAAATGTTTTAGGCAAGACACCAAAAGGACTCTAAATTTTGTAGGGAGTACAAAATGATGATCTTGCGTGCTTATAAAATGAAAACCGTTAATGTAACGAGTTGATTGTAAATCTCCCTTTGTGGAAAGCTACTTAGTCATAACTTTTCAGTTGAAAAAAAATTATAATTTTTAAAACTGACATGCTTTAATCTTTGTAAAATGATGACGTTTAACACTATTCCACTCACGTATTCCTCGAAGATAGTCACGCAATACAAAACAAGATAAATTATGTCGTTGAAGGTGCTCTCAGCTACAGCTTAACTTAATGTTGGGCACATTTAACAATACGGCTCGTTACAGTTCTAGACGCCGAAGGCCTCCAGGTCGTTTAATCTAATTTATCATCTACAAGAAAGTTAGCTTGGATGAGAATTAGGGCAGTAATCGAAAAGGAAATGGATACGTATAGTGGAGTATCGTTCATTTACATTGGACAGTTTTTTTCTTATTCAACGTGCCGTTTCTCCTTACATGCTCTGTTATAATATTAATCTCGTCGAATTAACTCTCTTAGACCGTTTTTGTGGGGCAAAGAGAAACATCTCCTTTTTTCAGTGTATTTGAAATTTTTGTTCAATAAAGTTAAATTGCATTTATCGTGAGGGAGAGGGAATGATAGAAGGCCTAAAACTTGAAAGCGAAGAGTTTTGATTTCGTCTACATTAATAATGTCATTCGTGCGTGACGCATGACGGTCTTTCCCATTGCCAAAATGTAATATCTAACGTCTTACTGCATAATGAGTGAAAATTGAAAGAACCTCATCAGTAAAAATGGAGTAGCTCAAACAAATAAAACAGGAAAGTAGAGAAATGTGAAGAAATAAACGTAATATACGCTAAGGAAAGTAATTGTAGAGTAAGAGCGTGGCACTGGCAGATGGGGAAAAAGACGAAAAATGGTAGGAAATGGAAAATGAAGACGATGGATCATGAATTTACCTACGGTCATTTGTGAATTGGGACAAATCACCGCATTTCTGATCGAATATGCCATGGTAATAACAACATAAAACACTTGATGTCAATAAAAAGTATCCGTCTTGAACTACACAAAATGAACAGCACTTTTACATTCTTTTAATTACATTAAGTTACATTGTATTTTGAGCGGAATGAAATTTCAGAGACGCTTTCAGTTTAGACAGATGCTCCTGAAACGTAGAACCCTCACCGACGTGAAAATCCATTTAACGAAGGAACACACTTTAGGAAATAATATAAAATTTGATATTTTACCATCAGTCTAAAATTAAACGCGGGCGTCAATTACCTATAGGCGGCGGCGCTCGTTAATTAGGTTACTAATGACCCTTTCGTTAGAATTGATTTTCCATCCAAAGCGGATTTGGGTATTGTTTAATAACATCAGAGAATCTCCATTAATAAATCGAGGCAACGGTTTGATGTATGCTTATGTTAAATTAATTCGGCTTATGCGTTCTAGGAATATTTGGAATATGGTATAGGTATTAGTTAAAGGTAATGATAAGTAAATCGATGTAAACAACAACAAACTAAATAACCTTCATTATTATGTCAAGTGCAATTGAAACTTTATTTCTGGTTGAAACCTTACTAATTTGACTGATTGATGCTATTAGAGGGCAGACGTAATTTTTTAAAACAAGAATTTTGCAAATTATTAATATTTGTTTAAGTCCTGCAATGTAGATTGCCGGTGCCAAACCGATCCCAATTACGGTCATTTAAAAACGGCAAATTGGCATTTCACATGACATTATGGCGACAAGTCTGGATGTTTTGATCACGTAAAAGACATTAAGATTGGGTTATCGCTTGTCAATCCCCGTCAGACTGGCTCTGGTAACTTTTCCCATTAACCGGTAACGACACATCCGGTAGCCATTGACTTACAAAATATAGATCGTCAAATGCTGATAATTTTTGAAAAAATTACGACAATTAAGTAATAAAAAATCAATTACAGTAATATATGTCTCAATTAAGATAAAAATTGACGTGTTCCAGATTTTTTTCAAGAATTTTACCAAACGATCTATTCCCTAGTTGCAGACTTTAAACTCGCACTCTATACTGTATACTCTTGTGAAGACGTCGAAAACGCGTGGGATTCTTTATAATATTAAGTCCACTTTCATATCTTCTTTAATTGAATTTACGCCATTTTATTTAGAAACGAGTAATAAATTAGCTAAACTAGTGTTAAAAAGAGATGCGTCTTGATGTGGCCTTTAACGTTTTAAAGATTATTAAAATAGTTTAACGGAGTTTAAGCATGAGGTGAGACGAACTTTAGATTAGATTCCGTAAAAGGGTTCTTGGAGGAATTTAATAGTTTGCAATTAGATATTAATTTATTAGATAAGAAAGGGACATTACAAATGAATTTGAAAGCTTGTATTATAAAATCGTTTCGAAAGCAACTGCGAATTCAAATCAAAAGAGA